TTATTGATATATTTATTTGAGGTTTCTGCCTTAGGGTGCGTGCACTAGCTAGGGGTAGAGAGAGGCACAGACAGTGAGAGGGAAAGTGAGAAATCAGCCCGCAGGGGGGATGACCATGTTGCAATTTCTTCTCCTTCATTCTCTGCTCAGGATCTTGGGCATGCACGCACATCCAGCATTATTTTCCTTCTTTCTTTTTTTCTTTTTTTGGAGAGGTGTTTTTTTTTTTTTTTGCTATAGGGAATGTGCGCCCCCCAGAAACATGTGCGCTCGCCAGACAGACAGAGAGAGACAGAGAGACAGAAAGCGAGAAATCACCCCCTAGGGGGTATGGCCACGCCGCAATCCCTTCTCCTCCATTCTCCTCTTGGAAACTTGGGCACACACGTACACGCGCCCGGCTTGAGTATAAGCCACCGGATCTGGGACACGAACTGCGGTCGACTACGTGGGAGTCCAGCAACATAGCCATTACGCTAACTGCTGGTCCCAGTCCAGCATTATTTTCAAGTCACCAGGTCTGGGACTTCAACTACAGCTGGCCATGTGGGAGTCCAGGAATTTAACTGCTAGGTCATCTGCTGGCCCCAACCGCTTTTTATTATTAATAAAATCATGGGGTTATATTATATACAGTGTTTCTTTTGGAAATTACTTTTTCATACAATGTTACATACATAGAGCACAAAATGAAGTCTACATAAATGAATAGTAGTCAACGTTGTTTTAACACTTTGACGATCTCACTTTCTTTGTAGCAGTATAATTCCATCCAGTAGTAAAATGTTATTTTAATTTCTATTGATAAATAACAAATTTCTTTCTTTTTTAATTATTACGAACAGTATGCGGTTAACTTTCACAAGTACTCATAAAGAGTTGGGAATTTCTCAGCACTTTTGAATATTTTATGGATTATTTTCAATCTTGCCTTGGCAGATAGCAATTGGATATAGTTTAGAAATGTCAAAGTGATAGTGATGTCTAATTTGTCCGTCTTTTAGTTTGGTATTTATATGCTTCTTTCCCATTAACTTTAGTAGTATTCTTCTTTCCCATGTTTTTATATATTTTTTAGCATTTTTTTTAAATAACAGGCCTCTTATCTACTCTTTTCTGAACACTTTTCATTCACTAGCCACAAAGCTTCTGTATTTATATAATTTTTCTAGCTCTTCCCAGGTTATCTTCCTGCTAGAATTATGACACTAGAGTCTGTTAATGAATCTCTGTCAATAACACCCAGTTTTTCTACATAGTAATCTTCAAATATATATAATAGCTGTCTAAATTTGAACACAGTGTTCTTTCTTGCTTTCTTTGTAGGTAAATAATTTTTTATTGCATTTAATCACAGTATACCTTTACAGTGTACTAAATGGTTTTCCCAGCAATGAATACAGTGCATACACATCAGTCAAGTCAAAGATATTACCACATGCATTACCGTCCACAGATAACTTTTCATTCTTGTGTGTGTTAAATGTTTTCTTTCTTTCTCTGAACACCTTTCTCCCACCCCATGCCCTCCTCCATCCCCTCCCATACTGTCTAGTATCTTTGGTTGCCTTCCCAGCCATTATACCTTGCAGTCCCTCAGTTTCTGACATAGAGTGCAACCATTTCGTATGTATTGAGTGGGGATGTACAATGCCTATCTTTCACAGTATGGCTTGCTTCACTCAGGATTAAATCTTCCATATTTGTCCACTTTGTAGCAAATGTCAGGGTTTCACTTTTTTTTTTTAATGACTGAATAGTATTCCATAGAGTACATGTGCCACCTTTTTTCAATCTCCTTGTCTGTTCTTGGACATTTGGGTAGATTACATATCTTAGCAATTGTGAATAATGCTGCAATAAACATGAATTTGCAAGTATTTTTCTGACTGAGTGTCTCCCAATCCTTTGAGTAAATACCCAGGAGCGGAATTGCTGGATCACATAGCCGTTCTATTTGTCAGTATTTGAGAAACTGCCATATCGTTCTCCACAATGGCTGTACTAATTTACATTCCCACTAACACTATAGGAGGGTTCCCTTTTTACCACAGCCTTGTCAACACTCACCATTCTTTACTTTTTTGATCTTAGCCATTCTGACTAGGGTTAACTGATACCTCATTGTGGTCTTAATTTGCATTTCTCTTATGATAAGAGATGCTGAGCATTTATTATATGCATTTTGGCTGTTCATATGTTGCCCTTGGAGAGTTGTCTGTTCAGCTCATTTGCCCATCTTTTAATTGGATTATCTTTTGTGGGTAAGCTGCTTGAGTTTTCTGTATATTCTAGTTTTCAGTCCCTTATTTGGGGCATAGTTTGCAAATATATTCTCACATTCCAAGGGTTGTTGATTCACTCTAATTACTGTTTCTGTTGCTGTGCAGAAACTTTTTATCTTGATATAGCCCCACTTGTCTATTTTTGGGATTATTGCCTGTGCTTTGGGGGTCTTATTTAAGAAGTCTTAGCATACTTCAGTGTCTCCAAGAGTTTCTCCTGTGTTTCCTAGCAGTGGTTTTATACTTTGAGGTTTTATGTTTAGATCCTTGAACCATTTTGAGTTGATCTTTGTTAGTGGCAAGAAATAGGGGTCCAGTTTCATTTCTCTGCAGGTAGATATCCAGTTTCTCCAACACCATTTGCTGAAGATATTTTCTTTTCCCCACTGAATTTTCTTGTGCTCTTTGTCAACAATCCGTTGGCTGTATGTTTTCGGATTTATTTCTGAGTTTTCAATTCTATTCCATTGGTCTACCTGTTTGTTTTTGTGCCAATACCATGCTGTTTTGGTTATCACAGCCCTGTTATATATTTTGGGGCCAAGGAATAGGATGACATCTACTTTATTCTTTTTGCACTGTATTAGTTTGGCTATACAGGGGCCTTTTATGATTCCAGACAAATTTTATAATTGTTTATTTCTATTTCTTCTAAAAATATCTCTGGCAATTTTACCAGAATTGCATTGAGCTTGTAAATTAACTTGGGTAGAATTGATATTTTGATTACTTTAATTCATCCAATCCAGGAACATGGGAGATCTTTTCACTTTTTTGTGTCATTTTCAATCTCTTTTATTAGTTTTTTAAAAGGTCTTTCACTTCTTTGGTTAGCTTTATTCCTATGTGCCCTATTTGTTTTGCGGCTGTTGTAAATGGGACTGCTTTGTTCAATTCTACCTTAGTCTTTCATTGTTGGTGTATAGAAATGCTATAGATTTTTGCATGTTGATTTTGTATCCTGCCACTTTACTGTATTCATTTATCACTTTGAGGAGTATTTTTTGTGGTTTCTTTTGGGCTTTCTGTGTATAAGATCATATCATCTGAAAATAGATATAATTTCACTTTTTCTTTCTCTATTCAAAAACATTTTATTTTATTCTCTTATCTGATTGCATTGGCTAGAACTTCCAGTACTAAATGTTGAAAATGAGTGGAGAAAATTGGATGCCTTATCTTATTCTAGTTTTATTCAGTATGATGTTAGTTATGTTTTTTTTTTTTTTAAGAATTATTTTATTTAACTATTTACATACTTTAATTTGACCAGAGAGGGACAGAGTGAGAGTGAACGTGAGAGAAAGAGAGTGAGAAAGCAAGTCGCCAGGTGTGGGAATTTGAACTGCGTTCGGTCATGTGGGAGTCCAACGCCCCTAACCATCCTGCCACCTTCCAGGCCCAGCTATGGGTTTTTATATATGGCTTTTATTGTGTTAGAAATATCCTTTCTATGTCAATTTTGCTGAGAGTCTTAATCATGAAAGGATGTTTATTTTATTAAATGCTTTTTTTTTTTGGTACCATTTGACATGATCATATGGCTTTTATCTTTCCTTCTGTTAATATGATGAATTACAGTTGTTGCTTCTTATATGTTGAACCACCCTTACATCCCCGGAATAATGCTTACCTGATCATGGTGTGTAATCTTTTTAATGAGCTGTTGAATATGATTTGCTAGTATCTTACAGAGAATTTTTGCATCTGTATTCATCATAGATATTGGTGGTTTTCTTTTCTTGTTATGTCTTTTTTGTTTGGGGATGAGGGTAATGGAGGCTTCATAGAATAAGTTTAGGAGGAGGGACTGGCAGGTGGCGTGGTTGCTAAGGCGGCTGGACTCCCACATGACCACAGCTCAAATCCCAGACCTAGCAGCTTGCTTTCTCACATTCCTTCTCTCTTTGTCTCTCTCTGGTCAACTTAAAAAAAAAAAAGATAAATGAATAAAATTAAATAAATGTTTAAAAGAATGAGTTTAGGAGGGTTCCTTCCTTTTGTGTCTTTAGAAATAGTTTGAGTAGAATGGGGTGAGCTCTTCTGTACATTTTGTAGCATTCAGAAATGAAGCCATGGGGACCTGGGCTTTTCTTTGTTGGGAGATTATTTATCACCGATTCAATCACATTACTTGTTATGGTCTATTTAAACTTTCCGTGTTTTCCTGATTCATTCTTTGTAGGTTATATGTGTCCAGAAATTTGTCTGTTATTATGTAGTTTTTCTTGTTTGTTGGGATATAGTGACATGTAAGTGTTCTCTCATGATCTCTCATATAGTTCATTTGTTCTCTATGTCATTGATTTCTGCTCTAATGTTTATTGGTAAATAAATGACTAATTAAGTACATTTAAAATTAAAACCGCAAGTTATTGAGTGCACACAAGGTAAAAGGGCAATCATTTCACTGGAATGTTCTTTGGCTATCTCCACTCACTTTCAATGCCTGATCTCCATGGGTTAAGTTCAATGCCATCTCAGAGCGCTTCAATCCAGTTTTATTACTTCAAGCCTATATCCCTATTTTTCTATGGCCCACTTTTATTGCAGAAAAATTAGTTTTACTATATGGACCAAAGTACACTTTCTACCATTTTACTTTTTCCTTTTTTACACATGTTTAGCCTCATAATGTCTAATTTTAAGAAGTTGGAACCTATTAAAATCTATGTTAAATCGTATTTTAATCTTTCTTAAAATGTATTTTAAAAAGTAAATAGTAGCATATGCTTATTGTGTGCAAATTCCTAAAATGTTAGTGTATGAAGTATAAACGAAGCCCTCTCTGCTCACCAGTACACAGGCCTGTTCTTACTTCTGAAGTTAGCTCTATGAGTAGCTTTAAGGTAACCACTTTTTATGAAGTTGTAATATCCCATTAAATAAAAATATCTTGGCCCAGCTGTGATGGTGCTCACTGCTAAGATACTGTGCTCCCCAGGCTGGGATCACAGGGGTGGCCCAGGGGTTTGATTCGTGGTCCAACCTACAGTCTGGGTGCAATGGCGGGAGCCTTTAATCCCAGTGACTATGGAGGCTGAGCACAATCATGAGCTTGAGGCTGGCTTGGACAACGCTGTGAGAACTTATGTAGAGGAAAACCGGAGGTAGTGGCATTTGCCCCTAGTATCACAACATGGCGAGCCCCTGTGTAGCAAAATAATTAAAATGTCAAAAAACTTGACCAGTATTAGGATGTTTTTTATTTCTGTCTTAAGAAACTATGAAAATGTGACCTATTTAGAAACTGTATGAATCTGATTTATTTTAGCACAGTTGCTGCTGTTAGAGAATGCTGTTGAAAAGCCAGATTACTTTGAAGAGAATGAGGTGGATTTATGCCAGTTCACGACTCTGGGTGGAGTGTACCACTTGGACATTTTTGAGCTTCCCCCACAGTGTAAACCGGTGAAGGGCTGGATGATTGTGGAAGTAGGTGGACTCTTTAATTAAAACTTATAAGTAAAATAGTTTCTTTTACTTTATATCAAATGATCTAACATCTAATGATCTTTAATCTTAGTAAGCAAGCCCCCCAAAACCATGATTTGGAACTATCTTGAATTTATAGGTACTAAAAATTGAACCAGAAGGACTAGCAGTTAGCATAATGGCTATGTTGCTGAACTTCCATGTAGCCGACCGTGGCTTAAACTCATGCCGGACGCGTGTGCGTGCGTGCCCAAGATCCCGAGAGGAGAATGGAGGAGAAGGGATTGCAGCATGGCCATGCCCCCTGGGGGGTGATTTCTCGCTTTCTGTCTCTCTGTCTCTCTCTTTCTGGCAAGCGCATGCACCCTATAGCAAAAACCTCTAAATAAAATAATAAATTGAACCAGATATCCAAGGAGAGGAATCCAAGATAATATGAATTTTAAAACTAAAATTCATAGTCGTTAATTGCAAACCTATTGTTGTTCTTTAGTTTGCTATAGGGCACGTGGGCTTGCCAGAGATAGACGGAGGGGGGGGGGAGAGAGAGAGAGAGAGAGAGAGAGAGAGAGAGATCATTCCTAGGGGGATGACCACACTACAGTTGCTTCTCCTCCATTTTCCACCTG